CTGCTACTACTACTACTACGACGACGACGACTACTACTACGACTACTACAACTACTACTACGACTACGACGACGACGACGACGACTACTACTACTACTGCTGCTACTACTGCTGCTACTGCTACTACTACTACCACCGGTTACAAAGAGGCAAGAAACTACCACTACCACTACCACTATTACCTAGGCTATCCTAGACTTGAAGTGGTACTGGTACTCCAGTACTCTCCATACTCTAATATCAGAACAGTGGCAGTTGGCAGTCCTCCTCCTCTTCCTACTGCTACGACGACGACGACTACTTCTACTACTTCTACTACTGCTCCTGCTCCTGGTAGCACTACGACGACAACGACGACCCCGACCGCTACCCCTACCCATGTCCCTACGACTACCCCTACGACTACGCTTACTACGGCTGCTATTGCTGCTGCTACCGGTACCACCGCCTGTGCTCGCAGTAGCAACCTGACAACTCGAAATCGGCAACAACACGACTGAATCCTGCGAGAGCCTGAGAGCGTCATAGTGTGTGCGGCCCCGCTGCCACACAGCCTCGGGAAGGAAAGCAACAACTCGAGGGAAGCCGCCCTATGGCCCTATGGGTTCCTCTCGCAGCAGCATCCGAAACAGCGCTGCCCACTTCTGGAGCTGCTCTTTCTGAGGCATACAGCGCCTTCTTCAGCTCCTTGGGCGAGTTTGAGAAGGCTGCGCGAGCAAGGGGGAGCTTCTTGCAAGTCCAACCGAAGAAGCTGAGGAATTGTAGTTGATTGTGGGAAAGATTTCTCTGGTTGGAGCGATTGCTCCACGTGCGGGGCTCGGCTTTTGGCGCCGCTGACCTCCAGCAGCGCGGTATGGTTGCATAGTGTGGTTTGCATCCCACCAGTGGACCAGCCGCGACGATTCTCAGGATGTTCGGCACGATGCCGAAGTCAATGTACACCTTGTTCCAGGCCATCTCTGCGGAGAGTTTTCGGCAAATCGCGCTGACACAGACATGTTTCAAAGGCCGCTCCGGAACATTAGGAGGATCCGCTGCAAGAAGGTAGCTGCAACTTTCTTTGTCAGGTCTTGACGCTTGAGTCATGGAGCCACTTGACGGCATTGCGAATCATTGGACCAGGACGCTGAGATGCCTCGACACCTTACCTTTGTGTCCCAAGGCATGGTTATTTCACGGCCCTTAATGGAAGTTCAGCCCATTCTGGTCGCGTCCTGGCTGCCTAGATGCCTGTGTGAATGGTTCAATAGGGAATCAGCACCTCAATATGCCACACCATGACTGCGCCAAGACAGGCCGGGGTGTTGGATCTTTCGACGATCCAGGTAATGGTGCCACAGTGCAACATGCCTTCACTCCTAGATCACCTGAGGTTCCGATCATCTCCTTTATTTTGCTCACAACCTTTGGAACACTGCTCCTCGGCTCGATTCGGTGCAAGGTCCTGCCGTGGTAGTTGCAGAGCAGTCGTCGAATATTTGACGGCGGACAGAGGATAGAAGACACTTCGTGGTCGTTGTTCCTAGCTGGTAGCTACTGTGCAGGACAGTGTAGGAGTGTCCATGTTTTTGGCTCCCCGTCCAAGCACCTCAAAAAGTTCAAAGTTAAGCAGCGCATGCAAGGAACATCATCGTTGGCGTCGTCGTGGAGAATACGCCACCTGGACAGGAAGGCTGTCGCAGTAGAGGCCTTCGACACTAACAACCTCATGCCCATGCCGACAGGGGCACAAGAACTCAGGCTCAGCGCTGCAAAGCAGAATTTGGACCTGCAGAACAAGCGAGCTGAAAAGCAAGTTATCAAGGACTCGCCCTGCATGTGCTGCCATGTGGTGCCAGACGTAAAGGTCAGCTCAAGATTCGTCACACTGGACTGTGGACCTGGGGTGCCCTCCGGCTTCCGGCTACGGAAACGGTCCCTTTCGCCTTCTTTGCTCCCACCGAGCTGTAGACTCCTTTCCCGCAAAGCGGCTGCTGGGGTTGGACTTGGCCACCTTGGCAGAAAGAAACGCTCGGGGAGTGGTGCTGCACGCGCCCGCAAACCGTCACCGACAGGACGAAGAGCACTCAGAATTTCCAGCCAAGTACTCTTCCGCAGCTCTTCCTCTGCCAGTCTCCCTTGGCAAAGCCCGAAACTCGGCGCATTGGCCCAATGGCACGCCGCCGGCCACTGTTTCAGGGTCGTCAACGTTGCCGTGCGCTTATGGGTCAGGGAGCTGAAGATCAGTTCTGATCGTAGATCGCCCGGACCCTGCAACTGTCTCAAAATACAGTTTTTAAAGAACTTCGAGGCGTGGCACTTCCATCCTTCAGAGCTTGACTCAGCTTTCACGATTTCCAGCATATCTTGCGACCCCGACTGGCGCAGAAAGGTTCGGTGATTTCGGTGTTTAAGAATTGAACGCGCGACAAGAAAGTGGTTGTCGAGTGCAAGTGGCAGAGTCCAAGCCCGCAACAAGAAACCCACCGTAGCCCCAAGGCTTGCAGAGAACGAAGCACGAAAGTCGCACCAGGAGCTGGAGCTTCTTCGGACAGTTTTCGAGGAGGCGGACATGGATGGATGCTCGCACATGCGTTTGCTGCACATATTTCTTCTTCCATCACTCCCAGCGAGCGTGTCGTTTAATCGTTTAAGCTTAACTCCGGAAGGTTTCCATCACAGCTATACAGTATGCAAGTCGATGGCTGCCACGGTGCATGAACTCTTTCGAAGTTTTGGTCTACACTCTCGATAAGGAAGCGGCACGATGGACAAGGAGGAGTTCATTGAAATCTGCAGCACAGCAAGTATCAGGCGCATGGTTGAAGTCCGGGTCAAGTCACCTGCCTTGCTTCGTACAAGCTCACAGACACCTGCAGCTCTTCATGCAAACAGTGTTGCTGCAACGCATCCGTAGTCTTCTGTCCGTCGCTGGATAGAGCATCCCCTTAGATTAGACTTCCTATATACACCGGGAAAAGTCGCAAACCTTGTGCTGAAGACAGAACTTGACAGAGCAAGGTCGAAAGAATCAAGTCCTTCCCGAGCAGAGGCGGGCGCTCCAACGAATGGGCGTGCCTCTGGACCAGGCAGAGACCTTGTTCGACATCATCGATTCCAGCAGGACTGGCGAGGCTGGTATTTCTGTCGCAACTTTCGCCCAGCGAGCTGGGCGTGATGTTTCGATTTCAGCCTTTGGTTTTCGGATTCGGATTCTTGTCTTGGACTCGGACATGTTCTAGTTCGACATATAATATCATATCCTGCAAGACTCCGACAATGTTTGCTGTTGTTTCAAGTGCTCGCGCTGTGAGAGCTTGCTGGTAACTATGCCCATCATCAAAGCATAATTTGTGGCTAGACATTGTTGTAACCCCAGACCTGGAACAGGTAACTTTCGCCGGCTTCATCGAGGGAGTAAAAAAGGTGCCTTGGATTCAATGGAGAGCACAGTCTCGTAGCTGAAGCAGAACCCTGAGCCAGCTCTCCTTTCTCGTCGCTTCTATTTTGATTATTATTGTTATTATTGAGGTTCGAGGGGCTCCGACAAGTCTGGACATGAAGGTGCCTCGGAGTCGCAAGGGCAAAAGCTCAGCTGCAAGGTGTGGTGAGTTCATGGCACGGCCAAATGTGGAGGGGGCTGAGGGCTTTCGGGGTTGTGAATGGTGCTCATTCGGAACGCACGAAATTCCAAACGACATTTCAATGGAGCTTGCGACTGCGGACTTGGAGGACATAGTGTGGACACATGTAATCTCTTTTCCTATCTATCTCGCTGTCTGTCTATCTATCCATCGATCTATCTCTCTCTCTCTCTCTCTCAATATCTCTCCTACTCTCTGTCTCTGTCTCCCTCTCGCTCCCTGTCTATCTCTCTGTGTCTCTACTCTCTTGTGCTTTTTGTGGTAGTCATCAGTACCTACACACAAGAGCACACACAGAGAGACATGCAGAGACACATTCTTCTTGCATGTGCTTGAATGATGTCTACGCCCATGCGGCACACCCCCGTACATACACGTGTCGTATCGCGCAGGGGCGCCATTGAGTACATATAGCAGTTAGTATGCACTGTTGCACAACTCACCAGAATCAACCACCCAATGCCTTAAAGGTGCATATCCTGTCGATGGGCACAAAGCTCCAGAGCTTACCTCTGCACACATACGAAAACACCTGGCTTACGTAGAGTTATGGATGTGTAGCATGGGGATCGGAACAAGCCTATAGATTCATAGGCGAAGGATGATTTCTGGGTACCTTCCCGTATATCTATACGTATATATGAAGAAATATACATATATATATAGCATATATATATATATGCATACACACACACACACCCATACATACATATCTGTAGGCGTGTTTCTGTCTGTGTCTACGTCGAGATATATGTTTGCAACCATGTCTTTCCTTAACGCATGAATACATCTCATCCTGTTCGCATTCTTTCCAGAATCTCGGGGCCCTCCACCCATTGATGTCAATACGGCTTGTTCAACAAATTGTGGCCGATTCGGAAAACTGGGGAGAAGGAAAGACCACCGACGACCGAAGCCCTTAGCCCTGCAAGCGCTGTCCAGACTATGATGGTGGCCGTGCGCAATATCTACAAGCAGCAGGTGAGGCTGGAGAAGGCGCAGATCCGAGATCGACTTGCTGGCTGAGTGTGCATGCAAGGCCTGCAGCCACAGTTTTGCAGACTCGCGATCTTTTGGAGGATTCACGAGACCTCCAAGTGGTCTTGCTGGATCTAATTGAGGACCCCAGCATTACAGAAAGAATGTTGGCCTGCTCTTGATGCCCAAAGTACGGTGTCTGGTGGGTCCATGGTGAGCCTGGCAGGAAGCGCAGCGAAACGGAAACATCATCCGGCTGCTGTCAAAGGAGGACCTCGACAACCTGCTCGCGGTGCCTCGACCCATGCGTCCTTGCACGGTCAGAGAGTCCGTGCGGTTGATCGATGCTGTCTGATAATGTGGGGGCAACTAGCATCGATAGCATCTCGGATATGCAGTTGAAGTCACTGATTCGGATGAGTTGATAGAAGTCGGGTCAGATGTTAAGCTGTTCCATGGCTTCTCGGGAAACTTGCAAGCCAAGGAGAAGCACAAGATGATGTCGCAGCATTCCTTCTCCAGCATCAAGTCCCCATTGAGCCAAGAATCGACTGCCTCGGCCAGACCGTCATTGTTCGGGAAGTTTCATGCTACCCGAACCTCTGTACAGCTTCAGGACTGCATGGGGAGCTGGAATGTCTTCCAAGAACATGCAGGGAGGTCACATGTCAGTGATCGGCTTCATTAGATGTTTTGAACTGGGACTTGCTGCACAGCCAAGGTCTTTTAATGTACTCTGATTTCATCACACTAAGTGCTACACAAATCACGACAGCAGATCTAGTCAAGATGAGCGTTTTGCAGGAGCCTCAGGCGCAGGGCGGAGATTCACTGCATCTCGAATCCTCTTGCCAGCAAGAGCCGGTATCAGCCGCCGTGGAGGACAACTTGGGATGGGGGGGGGGGGGTCTTGAGAAGGTTCCGAAGAAACGGAACCCACAAGCCTCTTACGCCGCAACGATCAAGCCCTACACTGACTGCTGTCGGAACCTATAGTCCAACAGGCATTGACATCGGCCGAATAGGCCTCGAACTGGTATTCCGGCTCAGTCCTGTTCGCGCTGTTCTGCATGACAAGGTTTCTTCAAGGGACCTGTACTTCGGCACTTACTTCGGCCTCGGTGAGGGCGGATGGCCGAAACACTCCGTCGATTGCTTTGGAAAGATGGATTCCAGAGATTACGAAATTAACACGGGTCTCTCAGATCTCTGCCTGTGCTTGTTTTGACTTGCGCGTTCCACGAGCAGTAGGCCGACATACGGGGGAAGCAGCAAAACCAATACAGGTCTCACAGCACGGCCAATAGGTCAACAGGTAGTTAGTGTATTTAAGCGACAACGAAAGCAACACAAATAACTTTGGATTTTGTAGGAGTCAGAGGTAGCAGACAGCCAGCAAGTGAATCACCAGTTGATAATTGTGTAAGATGGGGAGAATGAAACACAGATCATTCGTCTTTGTAGCACGAAGGAGGCAGAGCCCATTGACATCGGACCGACTCATGCAGAAGAGCAGCCGATATCGCTTTCGAAGAGTGATGAAGCTTGCTTGGATTCAGAGATTTCCGAAATGCCGTGGCGACTTGCTGCTTTCGGTTTGAGCTTGGATCATTTCTCAGTGTTTGGCCAAGTCTAGTATTAATCCTCTGCCCTATCACTTATTAACAAATGGAATCATAGCTGTGCCACATGTCCAGTCGTTGAAGTGGTGGATAAGCACCGAAAATCGGTAGCTGCCAGGGCGAATTGTCCATCACCCCTGCGACCATGCGGGAGATCTTGCCGAACGCTGTTGCAGAGGACGAGGAGCCGGCTCCTGCAACCAAACCTGGTTTAGGGGTTTAGGGTTTAGGGTTCCAGAGTCCTGCATGCAAAAAAGGGTTTAGGGTTCCCTGTGAGCTGAGGGCAGAATTTAGCGGTGTGCCGAAAGCACCAAGCTTTCTTTCAAGAGTTACGGCTGCCAGGGTTGTGTGGAGCCAGTGTTCGCGCCAAGTTCTGGCAGGACTTCTTGGGGGCTGGCCGTACTGTGACAGAAGATGCCCCTGTGTTAGATTTGTTCAGGTAAAGTTTAGCAGGATTGGGTTGGGTTAGTTGTCGCAAGCAGCTGGTGAGAAGAGGCATGTGAAAACTGGGTGCTCGCAACAAGTCGTGAGAATCCTTCTGATGAAACCCCACGGCTTTGCCGCCGACTGGGAAACCACATTGAAATAGAAGAGCTGCCTTGCTCAGGTGGTCAGCAGTGGCAGCAAAGACCGGGCATCAGAGGCCCGGTCTGTGCAGCGGCCGACGTCACCCTTGAGCCGCCGGTCCTGCCTGGTCTTGGGTTTGTCGCGATGGTCGTGGCACCGGTGTAGGTGTGGCCATGATTTTTTGTCGGAGGATGCAAAGACTCGTTGGGATGTTCTGCAGTTCGGAAGGTACATGTCATGACCCTTTGCCTTCTACCATGCTCGCCTGAACCGAAACCGAAACTTCACTGAAACCTCAATTACCCAAAGCAAAACAAAGACTAATGTGCGGAGTGGGTTGTCCTGGCTGGAAGACGTGGATAGAGAGGAAGCGGAACCGACTCCAAAAAACATCACGTGAAGATTCCAAGAAAACTGTCGAGGCCTAGATCCCGGCATGTCTCAACATGTCTCGTCCCTTGCAAACTGTACAAGGTGCAGGTGAGTAGTCGTCGCGCAAGAACTGTCTCAGTACGGACAAAAAGGAGCGGGGCCTGTGGCGGCAGCAGCACGACCAACAGCAGCAAGAGCAGCGCCAACGGCAACAGCAACATACTAAAGGAAGTTAGACTCTTCGCTCGTATAATGTATTTCCAGGCAAGATTGCCCGTGATTTTTTGGAAAAATATCAACGGCCAAGAGACTTTGGCCAAGAAGCTTCGCATTGCGCTCACATGCACATGACAACCCTATCACTACCAACAGCGGCAAGAGCAAGACCAAGGACAGCAACGGTAGCAACAACAACAGCGACAGCAGCAGCAGCAGCAGCAAAAAGAAGAGCAGCCGAGTAATGCAAACAGTATCTAGCGGTTGTAGTTAGCAGTTCTTCCATCAGTAGTGCTGATGGCTGAGGCGATCAAGGGGGGGAACGACAGCTGCGTGCCGTCGTCAAGCGTTCGTACTCGCAAGAGAGGCCACATTGGGTCTTTCAAGGATTCCGGGATTAGGGCCGCTGGTTTCCCGGTCTTGATGTCAAGAGTTGGCAGATTGCATGAGTGGATAATCAGATTGTGGCGAGTCCGACCTTAAAAGCCACCAGCAACCCGTAAGAAGAAGATTATGAACTTCAAGCCTTCTGTGCTTGATAACAGTTCCATCGTGACCGGAAAGAACTACATTGTTTCATATACTCGATGTTTGTTTCCTATCCGTTCACCGATCATCGTCAGGCTTTCCGTCGTGCTGCGTGCCAAGCACTTGCCTTCGAGTGCGCAGCACGAAAGGCTGGGCCAGAGATGATGAATCCTCAAGGGCTTGACATGGCTTGACATGCTGCATGTCCAGTCTTCAATATCTGCTCTCCTGTGGAATCTTCGATGCGATACTTACTCAATATGCTTGCAACAAGTCCTCCACTCGCTCCTTCTTGTCGTTCTTCCAGCTAGACACCGGACATCGCCATCATTCGAACCATCAAAGTCGACGTGACCACAATTGGTACCACGAGCCCTGTTCATCATCATCATCATCATCATCACTTTCACCGTCGTGGAAATCTGCCTGCCTTCACCCACATCATCAATTACAGCCATGATGTGCAATGTGTCATTCACTTTTCCTTCCAGCCGAGCGCGTTTGCCATGAAACCGTGTGTGGCGATGCCCGGTGTTCTCCAGATTATGCTGATGGTGATGATGTTGTCGTTGGTGACTTTGTTGCTCGGGATGATGAAGGCCATGATGCTGATCCTGATGATGATGATGATGATGATGGTGGTGATTTGGTGCTCGCATCAGTTCCGTGGCCAAACAGGGGCACCATCTACTCAGTTTACCCGGCAGTTGTGTTCGTGCACGGCAATTTGGATGTTTGGGTTGGTGCTTCCCTGACACTTCCGACAACTAGGAGTAGTGTAGCTGTAGCTGAGTAGCTGCTGTCGTCGACGTTGCCGCCTGTCTCGTTGCTGTCGTAGTCGTCGTCGTGGGTGTGGCACTCACAGCGAGCGTTCTGCTTTACATTTTCTGCCGTGCAGTTTTGAAACATTCATACTGTATTGTTGCATCTTCTTCTCGGTCGTGGCCGGAATCGCGGTGCAGATCTTTTAGGTGCCTTTCAAAGCTCCGACTTTTCTTCTTCGATATATCAAGCAGGCGCGGCGGTCCTGTACGGGTGAAGCTCACGGACAAGCAGCAGCTTGGAAAGCAACTATGTCGTGAGGTCGTGTTGACATCGGCAGTATCAGAAGGGGTGGTATGCAGAGCGTGCAGCCGTCCGTGTGCGAAGGAATGCTTCGAGCAAATGGTTTTGGTTCTAAGAGCAGTGATCGTGGAGCCATAGCCATAGATCAACAGATGTCTTGCATCATTTCCGAGCAACTGCAACCAGCCTGTGCAAGACACCGCCCTTAGGTCTTTTCAGCCTGACGAGAATCATACCTGTGACACAACCGTGCAAAGTTGCTTTTCTGGCATATCTAGTGCTGAGACCGAGGCTCCTGTCGAACGCCTAGTCGAAGGAGAATTGAGTGTTTCTGTGATCAGATGCCTTTCATCCAAGCTTCTACGCTGACCCGCCTCGTTCAAAGTCGTGACGCTTGAAGCCAAATCACAGTCTACTCAAACCCAGTGCCGATTGAGTTTAGCGAGTTTAGGGCCCTATGTCACGATAGACCGAGCGTGAGATGAAGCGGCGGGCTGGATGTGCATAGTCTGGCTCAGCTTGAGGCAGCGAATTCAGAAAGTCCCTAAAGCTACTCTCAGTCAAGCTCGAACCTTCAAACCCACACCTTCCTGTCTGCAATACCAAGATTGAGGGCTCCTTAAGGAAGATCAGTACAACGGACAAACTGCATTGCATCGGAATTCATTTCATAGTTTTCGAGATCCGTGAAACCGCACTGCTCAAGGCAGGCGCAAGTCCACAGTGCTTTGTGCGGAATGATTCCAGCTGCTGTGGCATTGCTGGCATGGGCATGCCAAGCATTTCCATGCTGTTACTGTTGACGACGAGGTAGTTGGTTCCATAAAGCTGATCAAAGAGTCGAAGGTTTCAGCAGATTCGAACTCACAGTTTGCATGTGTGACTAAAGTCCACTGTCGACAGCGCGTAGCTTGGATCAGTTGGGCCGCTCCTCGAATTGCTGAGATAATGCCCCGCTGTATGCAGAAGCCTGCAGACAGTTTCGCCGCTGCTGCGGCATACTCTCAATAAGACGGCCTTGCCGTGCTCTACGGAAGTTTATTTCTCTTCCTGCCAGCAGAGCTCCGCAAAGACCGCACAGACGTACTATAGTTACTAATATTCTCCACAAGTCTCAGACCCCGAAAACTCCACTTTGGTCCATGGACCTTCTGGTCGTCAGCTCTGCCTGGACTCGCTGTCATGCTAGGCCGTTGGGGTGGCGATTCCGGTCTCTTCATCGGGCAACATGTTATCCGGTGAATCTTCGCTTACTGCCCCGGAAGAGACCTGACGCGGTGCCCGTGAGAATCAACTCTAGCCAGGAGTGATGCAAACCTCCTTTTAATGAGGGCAGGGGGGTGAAAGCAGGCATGGGCAAAGCGTGTTGCTACTGCTAAACCCTACGCAGACATCAAGGTCTTTGCCATTGCCGAAGTGCCTTCATTCCCTGTGCCCAGAACGTCGTTTACTAGAGGTGGCTCGCCGTGAATTCTGTCGCTATGAAATGAAGCTGCCAACCCTTACGGCCCG